GTTTGAACCCTGCCCCACTGCCAGCCTGGCCATGGGGCCAGGTTACAAGGTGCTGCTGAGCACAGTGGGGTGGGGAAAAGCAGCCCCTCCCTGTCCCATGGCCGGCGCCCAGCGCTGCAGCCACTCGCAGCCTGCCTGCCTGCTCCGGACAGCCCCGCGTGGGCTGCAAGCGCCTGCAGCGTGGGGTGCTGGCCATGGGGTAGGGAGGGGCCACTTTTCTCCACACAGGTAAGGAGCCCAGGGAAAAGCTGAGTGGGGGGGCAGCGGCCCCTCCCCCACCCCACACCGCAGGCACTCGCAGCTTGCATGGGGCTGTTCAGATCCGGCACAGGCAGCCCCATGCAGGCTGCCAGCAGCTGTAGCAGGGGCCAAAAGGCATGGAGCAGGAGGGCCCCCCCCCCACTCCTTCGCTGCCTAGGGTCCCCTCCCCCCCACTTACCTGAGCTTCCCGCACCCCATGTGCTCCCAGCCCAGAAACTATGTCTGGGGCTTCCAGCTGGGGGGTGGGGCCAGGCAGCCCACCAGGCTTCCCCTGGGTCCTACTGCCCTTGGTTCCTGTAATTTTTGACAGGAACCAAGGGCAGAGAAGTATTAAATTTTCTAAATTTTTTTAGGGGCCCCGCGGGCTGGATAGAATGGCCTTGCAGGCCAGATCCAGCCCGTGGGCCAGATTTTGCCCACCCCTGGATTAGAAGGAGAGGAGAGCAGGTCACTGCAGATCAGGGCCTGCAACTTCCTTCTTGCCCCATCACTACAAACAGCGCCTGTGGAGTTCTTTTACATACAGCACCATGGTCAAGTCATCAGAGCCTGGGCAGAGGCAGCCTTTTAGCCATTGTGAATCTCACTGGAATTAATAACAGGCAAAGCTCCTAATGTGTAGAGTGAATGAGAAGAGCTGGGAACAGGCCAATAAATTTAGAAAGAGGCAATGGACACACTAGTCTCATAAAAATCAATGCAGCCTTCCCACATCTACGACATGAGCCTAGCACTCACCTGGCTGATTCGGAGAAACTCATGGGCACGTCTTAGACAAGAACTGAACTCTGGGTTGTCTTGGGCTCCAGCCTAAGAAGGACGTAGACAAAGTCAGACAGGCACTGCTACCTGCCAGCCAGGGAGTCTGGTTCTGGGGAGAAATCAAATTACTAAATATCCCATGGGATCTGCACCCACCGCTGTCTCTCCCATAAGAGCCAAGCACAGAACTGCAGCAGGGAGGGGCTGCAGAGACTTCTCTGCACAGCTGGTGTTACCCTAAATAAGGCCTGTGCTTTGGAGGACTGCCTATGCCCTCAATGGGGCAGGAGAGGACGTAGCTGCTTGCTACTGGCTCAACGGAAATGTTCGGGAACATGGCTTTGTCTGATGATGCAGTGACAGGAGGCAACGCTCCTTGATCACTCACAGGATGTCAGACAAGATGACCAAATGAGTTTTGGACTTCAGGTGTACAGGTTCACAAACCGCTTCCCATTCCCCTGTTTATTAAACACACACTGTAGAAGCTGGGACCAAACAGCTAAAGCATGAAGGGTGATGCAGAATGCTACCTCCTCAGGAACTGGGGAATGCAGCACAAAAGGAAACTGTACCTCCAGAAAGGCTTGGATAGCAAAGGCTGTATCCCAGAGCTGGGATCCATTGGTGCCCTGAAACAGAGAGAACATGCTGTGATGAAACTTATCTATACAATCTATGCTAGTCATATAGAATTGTTTCAATTTTGTTTGCAATGCTGATTCCAGAATATTAAATGTTGATGCTACCTGATGGAACCAGGTCAAACCCATGGGAACCAGTTAAAATGAGTTGGAACTGATTCAAATCAGTCAGAACGAGTCAGAACTGGTTCAAACCAGTCGGAACCGCTTTCGACTGGTTTGAACCTGTTCCAATAATTTCCAACCGCTTTCAACCAGTTCAAACCAGTATGAACTGGGTTCCAATCCATTTGAACCGGTTCCAAGCCAGCTCAATTCCCTGTTCATTTGATCCACATCCTTTGTGATTTGATCAACCGCTACCATAATCCTCCTCAGCCTCCTCCTTTGCAAATAAAGTCTTAGTCTTTACCTGTCGTGATTAGGGATGTAAGTATTGTTTTAAAAATTATCCATTCAACCTCCTCTAATTATATCAGTTAAACAGTTAACCAATAACATACCAGCGGGGTGTGGGGCTCCATGGCGGAGGGGTTGCAGCTGTCTGCCCAGAGCAGTACAGGGAGCCAGAGGCTGCAGACAGACTCGTTTGGACACAGCTACTGCTGGGAGCTGCGCCCTGGGACCTCCGACAGGGGGTGGAAAAGGCAGCAGCAAGCCCCACCAGACAACATAGCCTGGATGGCAGCAGCGAGGGGTTTTCCCAGCCCACTGCAGCCCTGGGTGTTCTGGGAGGGAAGGAGTAGGCAGTGCTGGTTGGGAATGGGTTTAAACTTCAAGTAGCCTGTTATCTCCCTCCAGCCAGCTTCCTGGCACCTGTGAATGAGCAGCAAATTATTTAACTGAGGAGTTTTTAGGCTACCGGCTGTTCTCCAGTGCCATGAAAGAGTCACACCCTGTAAGCAACAGGATTGATTTCTCACCATGATAAACACACAATAGAGTTTTATCTTGTACATGCACAAGTCACACAGTGCACAGGCAAGAGCATCAGATAGGTAAAATAAGACCAAGAGGAAAAAGAGTCAGGCCTGGGGAGTGAAGCAGAGAGATGCAAGGTCCATAAAGGTTGCAGCAAGTATCCCCAAAAGGTTCGGCATGAGGACGACGTTGGCCTGGTGTTGGATCCTAAACCCAGTGAAGGGAGCTGTGGCTGAAGCCTATGAGGATTCTTGTCCTTGAATTAAAAGGCGGTATAATTCCCTCCTGCACCCCTCTTTACCCCACAAAGCCTAGGGACTGGTGAGGCTCTGCAGGCAACTGGGGCAAAGGACCACAGCAATTCAGACTGGAGAGGTCTCCTGGAGCACCCCTTTCAGCCTCAGAAGCCCATCCATCTAAGCAATATTCAGCAATAGGAAGCAGGGCTTAAACATCAGCAGCTCTAACCATAGCAAGACTGGGGTCTGACCCCTTGCCATCTCTGTATCCCCCTTCAGCATGGTTGAGCCCCATCCCACTAACAGCAACTTCCCATTTTCACTGCTTGGATTCGGGCACCTTACCTGCATCTTCATCCCATCAAGTCCCAGCCTGTGGGAAAAGAGCACAGCACTGAGGTGGCCTGCAGAATGCAGCACTAATCAGCCACACACCACCACCATGAAGACATCAGACACTCAGGTGAACCAGCAGGGTGCAGGGAGCTGGGCTTCACAGACAGCATCTGGGGAAAGACGCTGGGAACCCTGTGTGCCTGTGTCATCCTTCTCAGAATACAAGGCCCCCAACTGACTGGCAGAACTGGAGCAATAGGGATTTGCTCACGAGGGACTGTTGGCTACAGCAAGGATCAGCAACCTACAGCCCAGGAGCTGGATTCAGGCCCTTGAGTGATTCCATTCAACCCACAGAGCCAGGGCATCAGTAGCGGTTTGATAGCAGGGAGGACTGGTGCCCAGAGAAGCAGCAGTGGAAGCAAACAGGTTGCAAGCAGCAGCTTGCCTCCAATTGAGCTGTGTTCGTTCAGTCCACATTCCCAAAAGGCTACCAACCCCTGAGCTACAGAGCTGGCTGGAGGGCTAACCAGATAAGAGGCCCTTCTCCTCCTCCACCTAGCCCATACTAAGACTCCTGAGGCCTATGCTGCAGGTCACTCCTGGACCACAGCACTCTCTACTCCTTGGTGTAAGGACAGCTTAAGACCTTCCCCACTCTGGACCTGGGCACTGCTTGTGCTGGAGACATAAGCCCATTCCCCTGGACAGAGTTAACAGGATCAGCCTTACCAGAGGTAATCTGGGATTCTGGAAACATGCTCCTGGAAAGCCAGGGAGCTTGATCCCTCCACATGCCAGCGAACCAGCATGTTAATGGTTTTGGAAATCTGCAAGGAGCAGAATGCAATTACTCTCCTTGGGGTGGGTACCAAGCTGCCCTTGATACAGATGTGCCAGCACCAGCTCCCATCCCACCAAGCCCTGGCATCATTGGTCAGCCTTGAGGACAATACTCAGGGCTTATGTTCTGCCCTGTGATGGAGGCTTTAAGCATTTCTGGAAAAACTGGCATCCTTGAGTAAGTATTACCATATGCAGCACAACAGGGCCCCGAGTCGGACAGAGATGCCAGCTGCTCTAGTGCCATAGGTAATGATGACAGCCCATATACAAGAGGCAGGGAATCCATAAGGACAGTGTCCATGCAGAGGAAGGGGCACAGGGCCCATCTTTCAGCACTGCACAGGAACTGGTGCTGCCTTCATTCATGTGGGGAGGTAAAAGAACCACTTACCGGGCCAATGCTGATAGCTTTGGTGAACCGGTCATCAGCCTTGATGTGGTCATACAGCTCCTCTATGGCTCGTTGGCGCAGGTGATAGCTGTGGTAGGCTTCGTACAAGTTCAGTATGGCTGGGCCAGGAACAAGAAACATGCACAAGGGAACTCTCTCCAGCTATATAGTCCCAGCTCCTGTATCTCTAGGACCCAAGCAGCCCTGGATAGCCTGAGAGGGAAGGTCTGTGTAGGCAGGGCCAGGATCCCAGCCAGCTTCCCAAGGAGAAGAGCCCACAGAACAGCCAGAGCCCAGCCCAGAGTGCTGCACCTCCAGAATTAAACCCTCCTCTCTTATTTGGCTGCTGCTCAGCCCCAGACAAGCAGAGGTAGCATGAGCAACGTTAGAGGGGATGAACCAGAGTTGCCAACTAAGATCCCAGAGCCATTTCTATGTATGCTTTCCTAGGCACACTCCTACCCTCCATGGGTCCACGCTTTTCCCACTGGGTGGAACCCAGCAGCACATCAGTGCATAAGGCCAGGGTAGGAAGCATGGGGCAGTATTCTCATCTGACTCAAGGCTATGAGGAAGGTTTTGGTTCTGATATCAGCTCACTTGCAGGTACTCAACACAAATCTGCAGACAACACTGTGCTAGTGACCCAACCCAGCCAGCACATCACTCACCATAGGCAACTGTCAGCAGCCAGCTGTGCGGGGTATACAGATCACAGGCAGCCACATTGTTCCTCTGGGCTGGCCAGTCAATGCTGGAGTAGTCCTGGATATACAGCTCCTAGCAAGGGAAAAACGCAGATGAGCTTGCCTGCAACCAGGGCAGAATAAGGAGAAAGAAGCCTGAGAGAGATGGATGCATTTATCCCCACAGAGCTTAGTGGTTTCATTAGCAACTGGGGAAAGACAACTAATTCCCACACTGAGGCTCAGATTACTAGTACAGAACTGCAGTGTTCAACCACTTCTGCACTGCAGGTCTCCACGTGTGACCTTGTGGAAGCTACATCTAGTACCACTTTAGGAGAAAAAGGAGACAAAAGGCTAGAAGAGAGAAGCTGGCAGGAAAAGAACCCCCCAAAAAGAAAAGCAGGACCTGGGGTCCTAACCAGTCCACTCCAGCGCCAGAAACAAGGGCCATGGAAAGGCCACTCCAGCTTCAGCAACCAGGAAAACCCATTCAGTCAAAAGGCATATCCTTCTGGATCATGGCATAACTGCAGCTCTCCACACCCCTCCATTCACAGCAGCTCTCTGAAGGAGACTAACAAGGGGCTTGCTCCACAAAGCCAGGTCTGTTTCACAGAGGACAAGGCTCAGCACTCTCCCACATCAGATCTCTCTCTTTCCAGAATCACAAACTGGGCCCCAGAATTACTCACCCTTTGGGAAACACAGGCCTTGGGTATGCCCAATGACTATATGTTCAGTGTCTTACGAACGTCTTGCTAGGAGCCTGAGTGCTTTAAAATCCCAGGCATCCCTATACTTTGCTTCCTTTTTTGTCACTCTCAACTCTCACCCACCTCCCTGTCCCCTTCCCAAAAGCCTCCTCCAATTCTTGTCCCAGAAGGACTAACTCCCAACCCCTCCCGCTGGCTGAAAAGCACCTAACAATGTGAATGCCTGCATCCACAACAGCCATGGAGGGCAGAGGAATTCCCACCTTGCAGTCCTTGTTTCATCTTACTGTAAACAAAATCAGATCACTGCTCTATCCTGGTGTGCCATTACTTCTGCTGGAGAAAGGCAAAACAAAAACCAATGACTGGAAGCTGAAGCCAGAAAAATCCAAAGGGGGCATGCACCAAATTTTTAACTGAGAGAAAAACCGCTGAAACATACTACCAAGGGAAGTTGTGGAGTCTCTATCTGCTGAGGTCTCCAAGTCAAGTTTGGATGTCTTCATGGAGGACATGCTTTACTCCCAAATGCAAGTCCTTGACCTCCACAAAGGAGGAACTGGGGGAAATCCTCTGACCTGCAACGTATAGGTCAGGCCCTTTGGGACTCAATACCTTTAGGTTAAGTTCTGTGCTAATACAGCACAGCACTGGCACGACACAGCACACCCTGGAAAAAGTTACTACTGCCTCTGTAAGGGCGAGAGCCTTCTTCATGTGAGTGAAAGCCTGGATCGCACTCAGAATCAATCTGTCACATGAACATGCCAAGGGACAAATCACAGACGCTATATGCCTCAGCCCTAAGTGAAAGGTGAGGCAGAAAATGCCACGTAGCTTATTCTAAGCAGAATGCAATTGCCCACCGAGTGGAAATACAGCACAAAAGATGTCAACAGAAAGAAGCATAAACAATGGCAGGGGAAGGAAAAGAAAACTCAGAGGGAAAGGCAGTAGCTCTGAGAAGCTGAGCACCACCATGCCCCTAGGGAGAGTAATTCACCTGTCGGAGGCTCTGCACTAGCTCATCCTCTTCAGCAGTCAGTCGGGAGGCATAACAGTAGCTCATTGGAAGGTAAACCTGGCGGCAGTGACACCAGAGTGTGGAAGGATGTGCCGGGAACCAAGCAGGGAGCAGCCTGTCACACAAAAGAGATGGAGCTGTCGTGAGTGTGTGAGGGGGAAGGGGAAGGAGTGCACAGGATGGACAAAGCTCAGGGAACATGGATACACCCAGGGACAGAGAGGCAGGGAGTCAAATATGGGGCAAGCCCTTCAGAGATCATGGATGGAGCGTTATGAGGGGCCAAGATGCTCAGTGTCTCCCCAGGTTACAGGTGCTATGGAAAGGAGAATGCTGGAAGCTGAAGCAAAGCAC